CCTTACCAAAAATCGGCAGCAAGGGTCTCTTGATATAAGAGGTGCGGTTAAGAAAAAAATCCTTCCTTTCTGCATTTTTTAGGGTTTAAGAGAAAACCGTCAAGTTTCAGGGTTGTTATTGCTTCAGGGAGGTAATCAGATTTGTCTCATCTCCCTTTATTTTTCTTTACTCTTTGGAAGATCTAGTAGTTCATTTTAACAAGACTGATACAGATCAGTCTCAATAGGTCGACTGTCACAAAATTAGGGTTTCTGAATCAGAACCCTCCTGTTATCTGCTACAGACCTAGTAGACCGATTGCTACAGTAATTAGGAAGCATTCTAATGGAGTTTAAAAGCCAAGGGGAGGGTGTTTTTGGGGCTGGTTCAGGCAGCATGGTTGAAAACACCTTTCAAATTACAACTGTAAAGTTTGATGGTTCAAACTACTTAGAGTGGGCCCAATCAGCCATGATGGCCATTGGGGGAAGAGGAAAGCTAAACTAATTGTTGGGCAATGTAAAGGAACCAACCAAGGAGAATCCCACTTATGCTAAGTGGATTCAGGAAAATTATTTGGTAATGATATGGTTGTGCAACTCTATGCAGTCACACATCAACCGAAATTACTTATGGGCAAAAATAGCTAAAGAAATTTGGGATGTTGTGAAAGAAACCTAGTCTCAACCCCTTAATGTTGCTAGGGCTTATGAGCTAAAATGTGAGGTCAAAAATCTCAAACAATGGGAGAAACAAGTCTCTGTTTATTTTTCGACCCTAAAATCCCTATGGCATGAGATTGACCACCTTGAGACAATTGAATGGGAGAGTTAGAAAGATGCACAGACTTACAGAAAGCAAATTGAAACTAACAGAGTATTTGAGTTCTTAGTTGGTCTAAATTCTGAATATGATATTGTAAGACAACAACTATTGACAAGAGAAAGTGTGACTCTATCTCAAGCCTATTCCTTAGTGCACAGTGAAGAGACTAGGAGAAAGGTCATATTATAACAGTTTGTGAATGAAAGGGATATAAAGAAAGAGGCTAAAAAGGACCTAGTTTGTGAACATTGCAAGAAACCTAAACACACCAAAGACACCTATTGGAAGTTGCATCCACATCTAGTTCCAGCAAAACTAAAAAACAGAAAAGATAATGCCAATATGGCTGTCAACACTTATAATACAGCCTCAAGATCCCTAACTGTTGTTCGAGCTGCTCTAACACAATTAGAAAGTGAAGTCAATAATTTAGTATCATCTCCTCAGCCATCATCAGCTCCTTCAACCTCATCTTTTGCTCAACCAAATAATCGGGCCTCAGCTTATCATGCTTCACCTCCAAGTAATACAGAACATTCTTGGATAATAAATTCAAAAGCATCTGATCATATGACTAGCTTGCCTTTATCTTTTGGAAAAGACAAAGTGTCCATTACTGATGGATCTCTTGTTCCTATTTCTAGCAAATGATACATCAAGTTGTCTGATGCAATTTTCCTATCCTCTGTCATGCATGTTCCTAAGCTTAATACTAACTTGCTCTCAGTTAGTAGCATTACGAAAGGGCAGAATTGTTCAATAACCTTTTTTCTGATCGATGTGTTTTTCATGATCTGGAAACAAGGTGATTGAGATTGGCCGTGAAACAAATGGAATCTACCTAATTGGAGGAAGTGCTCATCAGAAAGATAGTGAAACTAAGAAATCCTTTGTTTCTCAGTTTGTTGATCAAGTGATGCTTTGGCATAATAGATTGGGCCATTTATCCTTTCAAGCTTTGAAAAGTTTGTTTCCCAGTATATTTGAATCTACCCATATGACTAGTTTGAAATGTAAAAGTTGTGAGCTTGCAAAACATTGCAGAACTACCTATTCATTAAGTAATAACAGAAGCAATATTCCTTTTGAAATTGTGCATACTGATGTTTGGGGACCCTATCATACCACTGCCATGGGGGGGTACAAATATTTCCTATTATTCGTTGATGATTACATTTGATTTTCTTGGGTTTACCTTATGTATTCTTGAGATGAGGTTCCGACATTAACCCAGATCTTTTATCAAATGATTTTAACCCAATTTGGGGTCAAAATTAAAATTTTTAAATCAGATAATGCAAAAAAATATTTTGCAATCTCATATTCCTTGAAAACCCCAAGTGCAATTATATGTTCCTTGACGACCCCAAGAAGACCTTGGTATCCCTAAGTGTAATCCCATATTCCATGGCATCCCTAGGAAAGCCCCGATAGCCCCGGATGCAATTTCAAGTTACCTTGGCGGCCCCAAGGAAACTTGGAGATCCCAAGTGCAACCTCTTACAACCCATTAGCCTCCTACATGCTTGATCATGGAATTATCCATCAGAGTACCTGCCCACATACACCACAGCAGAATGTGGTTGCTGAAAGAAAGAATAAACACATATTGGAGGTAGCCAGAGGCATTATGTTTACCTCAAATGTGTCTATACGTTTCTGGGTGGATGTTGTTCTTACAGTTGTTTATCTCATCAATCGGATTCCCTTATGGGTTCTTAACATGAAAACTCAATTTACCTTTTTATACCCTGATAAAGAATTATTTATAATTCCCCTCAAAACCTTTGAGTGCACTTGTTACGTTCAAATCCTAGGCCCTCATCGTTCCAAATTTGATCCCAAGGTCTCCAAATGTATATTCCTTGGTTATGCCAAAACTCAAAAGAGATATTGTTGTTATGAATCAACTTTTGGAAAAAGATTTGTCTCAATGAATGTCACTTTCTTTGAGGATAAACCCTATTATCCAAGGGTTTCTCCTCAGGGGGAGAATAGTGAAGTCGGGAGTAGCTCATTGGAAGTTCCTTTTCCAATCCCATTAAGTGAAGAATGATGTAATGGGGAAGGATGTCAAAGGTGCAAGGATGTGAGAGTCTATCACAGACGATGGAGACATGTCGATTTTGGATATCAGCAATGCAGGCCAGTCCCAGTCCCCACTACAGATCCAGATCCCGGTACCACAGTAGCCCCAATTCCTTTTGCAGATCCAGATCCAGGTACCACAGATACTATAGATGAGAGACATTCAACCATGGAGCCTTCACCTTCATTCAATGACCTTGATCTCCCCATAGCAGTCCGTAAAGGCAAATGTCGTTGCACCACAATTCACTGCATTTCTCAGTTCCTATCATATGATCATTTGTCTTCCTCCTACAAGTCTTTTCTCGCATCCATTGTTGATATTCACATTCCCAAAACAATAAAGGAAATATTAGAAATACCAGAATGGAAAGATGCAATAAAAGTAGAAATTGATGCCCTTATCAGAAACAATACCTAGGAGATAATTGATCAACCGAAAGAAAAGAAACCAGTTGGATGTAAATGGGTATTCAGTGTGAAACATAATGCTGATGGTTCAGTTGAAAGGTATAAAGCCTGATTAGTTGCAAAAAGATTTACTCAGACATATGATATTGACTATTTAGAAACTTTTGCACCAATAGCAAAGATGACCACTATCAGAGTACTATTATCTCTTATAGCTAGTTACTTTTGGCCGTTGTATCAGATGGATGTTAAAAATGCCTTTCTCAATGGAGACTTACAAGAAGAAGTTTACATATAATTTGCCTCCAGGATGTTAAAAATGCCTTTCTCAATGGCCGTTGCACACAGGTTTTGAATCTTTTGATTTGTAATTAATATATATGCTACACAATTCCACAGTGGACCTTGAATTGCCTAGATTTTTTGTGAATAGAAAAGAGTTCAGATATTTTAGCTAGTTGAATAGCACATTTCATTTTAACATGTGCATGGAAGCCATTGTTGGACAAAAAGGATAACAAATTATAATATCTACATAATCCATGCCTAAACATAAAGAAGAGGTTATCCTCAAAATATGCACAAGTTCATCAGTGAGGAGAAATGATCTATTGCAAGTTAAAGGGCCTAGATGAACTAAGGGTAGGCCAAAAAGTATATAGGTTGAACTGGTGAGAAATGGTCTGAGGATGAAAGTTCATAATTTAACAATGAATATGTTACCAAACAGCATGGAATGACAGAACGGGCATCATGTAGTTAATACCATAAAGATGGGGCAAGGCTTAGTTGAGTTGAGTAGTTGAGGTTGTATTCATTTCTATGTATAAGGGACATAAAACAAGGTTTTGGTCATACAAAGGCCAAATGTTAACTGAAATTTTACAGATTGGAAGATCTTTTGTACTTCACAGTGAAACAAATGGAGTCATAATAGTAAAGAATGGGATTTTTGAATTAGAAAGGATAAATGCGGATAGGAACGCTTTTTTAACCAAGGAGAGAATTCCTAATGCAGTAAAGAGGGACAGAAAACTAATCAAACAGTGCAAGTTCCAAAAGTTTTTGCTAGATTAAAGCTAGGAATTTTCGGGGCAGTTCCAAAGAAGAAGGGAAAGAAGATGAAGAAAACCTTCAGATAAGAAATTTGGTTTCAAACATCGAAGGCACTGAGGAAATGGGTAAAGCGTGATATTTGAGTCTTATCAGAATAGGTTTCTGGGTTCAGGGTAGGTTCTTTCCCACCATAACAACTTCATCTTGTCCAAGCATAATAGTAATGGAGAG